CTGTAGCACTGGGCTTAAAACCACTTAGAACACCCTGGCAACCGGCTTGCTATCAGACCCTCTCAATGATGGTATAACTTTTTTTATCTCAGCAAAGCTCATCAGGCCCTTCAGAACGATGAGATTTGCCGGTACTTCCAATTTTCTGTGTTGTGGAGCGGTTTATGGGAAGAGGCATGTTTTATTGTTTCTACTCAGTGATGTCACTTCCTTATGAGGCCGTCTGCGAAGATTTTCTGCCATTATGTCCATTTGTGCGAGCTGATGGGTGTTGTTTGCAGAGAGAGTCAGAGTCAGCTGTCTGACACCTCCGGGGTCTGCCAAGAGCTCTGAGGATCTGCTCCAACGTGCTCCGACAAGTTCCTCCGCTGCCTGGCACGTCTTCAGCGTTTCAGATGCCCTGAAAAATGGTGATTATGAAGTTGTACAGGCTCCAATCTCAATTGTGTTAACTGACATTAGCCAAGTTATGCCAGAGGCTGTCTTGAAATAGATGGCTTTTTGTTTATTTCTGCCTTTTTGAGGTCTTTATTAGTGGTCTTTATTACCGCTTTGAGATCCCCTAACCTTAAATGGATAGTTCACCCCAAAATGAAAAAGTTCACAATTTTCTCACTTTCAAGGTTTCAAGTTTTTTTTGTTTTTTTTTGTTTTGTTTTCAGAAAAAAATAGCCAATATTAGCTTTTTAAAAATATTGTTTAATTATTGGCCTTGGTCTGATATTGGAAGATTGTAGTTTAGTTTAGTTTGTTTCTTCTGTTGGGCACTAAAGAAGATATTTTGAACCCATGGTAGTCAACATTTATATTTATTGTTACCGAAATTCTTTGAAATATCTTACTTTGTGATCCAACTTATGATTTTTGCCTGACAAGTCATAACTCTTGTGGTAGGATTATTAGAGAATGTTTAACAAGAAAATACTTAAATTTAAGTCTTTATATTTCCAAATTGCATGTTTAATTCAATGCATTACTTGCCAATTCTTTGTAATTCTTTGTGAAATTTCTGAGCAAAAAAATTGTTTATACGCCATATTTAGGAATAAGAATATCATGGAAATGTTAAAAACAAAAAGAATACAGTATTCTTCTGAATACAAGTTGCTTTTTTAATAATATGAAACATGCTGGGACTTATATAATGCAATTAATGTCAAGCACGCAAAACATTTGTGCCAAATGAGATATGTGAGGCTGTGTTTATTTGTATAGCGCATTTCCCACATGTAGTTTCAGTTTCACTTATAGAAATTGTTTAGGCTTGGTGTTGTTTATATGTTATTTATAATTAATTCCACTATAATTTATGTTGGTTTCATGTTTATTTTTCATTCTTGTTCTGTTCTGAATACTTCTAAATTTAAAGGATCTGTTGTGGTAATTATTTACCTAAAATGCTCTAGAAACCACTTACCATCATGCTAAAAAGACATTAGCATCGTGGCAGTGAGTTTAGTTGCCAGGCACTTTTTCTGCAGAAAATGATAAAATCGTGTTGATAGGTGTTGTCGAGAAAGGACGGGACATGGTTGTTCTGAAATTAATGTAAATTGGGTTTGAATTTACACTGACTGTGAGGTATGTGCGGCATTGTGTTTAGCATTTGCGCTAACTGCTAATCTACTACTCTGAGGCATTTTTTAAAAATACATATTCATTGACTGCACAGTCAGACACAGGATTTGTTCAAAATTTACTTATGTGGGCATGAATGACACATTCCCCTTCAGGTTGCCCTTTTACCACAGCTAATTTGCAATGCGTTAGCTGCTAGCTAGGAGGTCTTTCTGCCCTTCTCTGGATGTTGTCCTGGGTCTAATGGCCCCTCAGGAGACTGTCTCAGTCATATCTAGGTGTTATCTCAGCGCTGTTTTATTTCGGTGGCACCATGCCGCTCTTCACAGGACGAGGAGATATCTGTCCTCTCCTGCTGCCCTCGGGAGAAGCAGAGAGGCAGATTAACAAAGTGACTTAATGTTGCACATTACTCTCTGGAGATCCCTGCTCCTGGTTTCTTGGCACCGGGCCGCCCTCCCTCCTACTCAAGTAACACAGCGGCTCCTCCCACGCCTGTCTCTCTCCGTCTTTATCTTTCCGTCACATGGGTAAACACACTGGCATCTCTGACCTCCAAAAAAGCCATTTTGCCTCGGCATGTCCAGTTCCTGTGGGGTTTTTGCCGAGAGCCTGTTCACAATTTCAGTACATTTACCTGGCAGTTCCCTCTTTTTTCCAGTGGCTTTGGTCTGATGTTGGCAGCAAGATGTTAGGACTATTCTATTCTATTCTATTCTATTTTATTTTATTTTATTTTATTTTATTTTATTTTTGGAAGTAGATTATGTCAGGACTATTTCCTTTTTTCTTTCTTTTTTTTTTTCTTCTGAACAAATATATTTTTATTTTAAAAATATGTAAATATTAATATCTAAAATAAAATAAATATTGGTATTCATATGATTAATTATTGCCGTTATGTAGATTAGATCTACATTTATTTTATTTTAATTAATTGTATTCTATTGCCATAATTACATAAATAATACTTATATAATTAATATAATTAATAATAATATAATTATTTTATATTGTAATTAAAAAAATAAAATAATTGTATTTTTTTTATATAATACAATTATTTTAATTGGATTTTATTTAAAAAAGCATTGATTTTTATATTCCTAAATGGTTACCATCTTGTCAACTGCACATTTATAATATTTGTTAGATGTTTTCTTGTAGTTTACAAAGCTGGTTTTTGGCCATAACTTACAAATATTTTGGATACTTGATTGTGACTGATTCTGTGCTCAAAAATAGCTGCTAAACTGCATAAATGACTATCATCAAACAAGACAACAATGTACCCCACAGCATGTACAAGATGTCCTTGAATAAGGCTTGAATTAGCCTGCTTGAACGGCTAATCCTGAAATGAAACCGCTACACATAACCAGACTGATCAGTTAGTTGGAGATGAGTGAACTGGACATCATCGGCCGAGTGGCTAAAGGGAACTCTTTGAGTCCGGGTTTAATGGATTACATGTCCTGAACAGCTTAAAGTTACGTAAGGTCTACCGTCCATAACACTGTAAGCTAAGTTGGATAAGGTAGATGTACTGTAGAGTCTTGAGTACATATAATGGGATCCATAAATGTCAATAAGAAATAGTGTTTTGTTGGATTTGAATGCAGATTTTACGCATATCAAAAGACACTCAGCATTTGATCTCCACTGTCTTGAATTTACTGTAAGTTTCCATTTTTATTGGCATACTCT